GCTCCGCTGGCCCCGAGGGCAGGAGGAGCGCGCAGAGCCGCGGGGCAGCCCCATCGCACCGCCCTCGCTTGCTCCATCCCTCACCTGTCTCCGCACCGAAGTGATGGGACACGAAACTGACCTTACAAACAGACTCTGCTTTTCTTTCCGATTCCTGTCTTTTAGTTTCAAACCAGAGGTTTTCAATCTGCTTTTCTCCACCATCACACACGCTGACAGCTGCTAAAAGCAGAGTCCTGTAACGAGGAGATAAGCGACCAGCAGCGGATTAAACTCCCGAACAGCGATTGCCTGTTGCCCAGCTCTGTACAGAACCCCCAGGGCAGCATTTTCCTCCACACTTGCAGGAGGGCAGCTTCGAGACACCCCCCCAGCTGCTCTCCATGGCCTGGGTACTGCAGAGGACCACGCAGGATGGCTCCCAGCTCCTCTGGCCTGGCAGGGTCCACGTCAGCCAGCTCCTCTGGCCTGGCAGGTTCCACGTCAGCAACTCAGACCACCAGGACCAACGTCCCCATGCAGAAGTTGCCAGTGACAGCAATGCCCCCACCCTCAGGAGGAAGACAGCCACCCCCAGGGGGCTCCTGCCTTCTTGGGCACAGAGAACAGGGAAGATGATCGCTGCTGGGAAAACAATCTGCTGCCAAGTATGAAATCAAGAGAAAGTTTGAAGTAAATAAGCCCATAAATCTCTGATAAGCTGGAAGAGAATAAAAGCTCTCATCAATATTTATACACAGCTCCTCAAAAATAACAGGAGTTCATTAACTAAATACCTTTGAAAAACTAAGCCTTTGGGAAGAAATGGTCCAGAGGAAACATTTCAGCCACACAGGGTACTTCAGGAGTCATTCTATCAAGGAAAAGCTTCACAGAAGATTACTGTATCTCTGGAAGCAGCCACACACTATAGCTTTAGACATGATGCACCGAGTGCAGGAAGCCAAACCCTGGGACAGGAGGCAAAAGTGGCTCTGTTCCAGCTCCCTTTGGCTCCACTGAGGCATGGAGCCATCCCATGGAGTGCATGAGGCTGGTGAGTTGCCAGACACCCTCAGGCACACACCAAACACGATCACCATGTGCTGGCCCACCCAGACCCAGCCAAGCTCTGGGCACACGCTGGGTAAGAGCAGCAGCAGTGATGATCCCTGCAGACAGCCCTGCTGCCAGCAGCGGTGGGATTTCACTCGCTGCCTGCACCCCTCGCCCTGCCCTCCCGCTGTGGGACACAGCAGCAAATCGCACCTACAGCTTCTCTCCAGGCTTACTGAGCTCTGGGAGCCATTGCTCAGGCTGCAGGAGGACCTTATCTGGGCAGAGCAGCGCACCCAGCAGAGACCCATCTTCTCACCAGCAGGGGAGGCTGAAGTCCTCCCACTCAGGAACTGCAGCTCCTGGTCATGAAGCCTGTTTCCAAAACCACAGCACATGGTTTCTCCAGCAGACATTAACTAGAATGTAAATCCTCATTCTCCCAATCCGCAGGAAACTGATGCAGGCAGAGATGTGATGATTCATTTGCCTTGTATCTGAGCCCAACACTCTTT